GAACCGGTCCGCCTAAGATCGGCGTACTCCCAACTCCCGAGCATAATCAGGAACACACGAATCCAGTGATACTCAACTTGTGTGTATAACCCGCCCGCTCCTTCCTCGGCACCAAATATTAAGTTGTCAACGGATGTAGTCTCGACTGTGTGCACTTTTTTAAACGTTTTTACACCCATGCAATCGCCCTCCACCTCGATCGTGTGCCATACATATGTATACCTACGTATAAAAAGCCGACGCGTCGTGACAATTAATCTCAAAAAACCAAAGTGTTGAGCAAAAGAATAAAGGAAACGAAAAAAAGGGCGATTGGAAGGAGATGATAAAATAAGGGGGGGAGGGGGAAAGGCACTCTTGGCAATAATACTTAATGAGGATGTGCGAACAGGGTATATATACATACCCACGCGAGAGAGAGAGAGAGAGGATAGCGCGATGGGGGAAGAGGATAAGGAGACGGTGATCATCGCGACGACGGCGACAACGGCGCGAGGATTGTCGTAAATGTCTTCATCCTTGTATAGGTACATACATGCCGAGTGAAAAAGAGAGGAGGAGAGATGAGCTGCTGAACTTGTGGTGGGCGTGTGTTACCTGCACGTATATACATGTATACATATATATATATGTTGGCCATTGCCGCAAGCAAATAAACTCTCGCACCTACGTATATCTTACGCGTTGTATGTATACCTTTTTGCGCCGCTTATTCCTGCACATAAAATACACATAAGTATACACATAATATAGGCTAACCGAAGCGCTTGTGCTCTTTTTTTTTTCCGGTTCCTTATTTCCTCGGTCAACTGCACCTTTTTTTTTTTTTACCCTCGCAGCCGTGACTTTATTATGCACGCGCGCATCGTGTAGTTTCGATTAAAAAATAGGCATAGGTATAGGCATCATGTACAAGCTATACATGTATAATGATTCCTAGTCCAGTTGGGGAGGGTATCGGTAATATAATACGGGTGTATAGAGATCGGTACAGGTATACAGCGGTGGTTCGACCTGTTTCTTCGTCGCCGTCGTAATGCATAAATTATATTTATAAAAGTTGTAAAACACACTCTTACACGCCAGCCTATACGCATATATACATGTATATACATATTGTACGGGTGTAACGAATGAGCTGCACCAATAAACCTGATTGCCCGGGTGTGTTCAACCGATAGGTGGAGTATACGCGTGAGTGGGTATATGTATGTACTTACGTATGGGCAGGGCATTGCCTTGATACGGCCGGGGTCGTCGAAAATTCCGGCTCGCGTTGGCGTCGCCGGGAACCTCGGCAGACGCAGGACATACATATTATGTACACGTCGTGGGCTGCGAGAATCTCTCTCTCTCTTTCTCAAGATTAGGTGGAGGTATATGGGTGCGCGCGTGGAGTATACGTATACGGTGTATGTACAACGTGTTGCCGTGTCAAAGGTGAGTGGAGAGCCGCGCCCTGGCATTGTGTAGGCTGTCCTCGCGCGATCGCCCGATGGGCTGCGTCCGTATAGCAACGAGTCTTTCAAGTCTTCTTCCTTCGTATCGGTATACAACGTGTCGCTTCTACAACCCATCCTGTATACATATACAATGACAATACACACACACTTACCAGACGTATGGGCTCTTGTGAAATATTATACATGAGATTGCCCTCGTGTGACACTCTCTCCCTTTGGTACTTATTATCGGTCGATTTGGTAGTGCATACACATGTATGGTAGTTGAAAAAACTCTTTTTTTTTTTTTTTGGTAGGACCAATTTTTGGAATACAGCTCGTGGAGGATGAAAAAAAAAAGAAAAAAAAAAAAAAAGTAAAGAAAGAAAGAAAAGAAAGAGGCAAAGGTATACGAACTCGTGTCTCGTCGCGGCGGCACATGCGCGTCCGGCATTCCTGTACATCGGGTGGGATGGGATAGTCAAGTTCAAGGTGAAAAAAAAAAGGAGGGACTGGCATCGGTTTCCATAGCCATCACCCGGGCGGTGCTTCTCGACGTATCGACATACCCATATGCGTCTATTCTTTCGGCGCTCCATCGTGTACACGTTGCACGGGATGATTTTTTTCCCGCGGGGTGTGTATATATATATATACAGGACAGGAGCCAAATTGTCGAGGGAAGAATTTAATAATCTCGCGCGTCGCCTGCCACCTGCCGCGGCTACATTACACCTTTTGCGCTTCCCTGGCGCTAATGAGAGAAAGAGATACGTATACACGCGCATCCGCGAGCTATTAGACGAATCGCCGGGCTTCATTCGAACTCGCCGCAATTAAATTCGCATTGCACGTAATGACACGTATACGTGCAGATGCACAACACAATGTAACTCATACTCATATAAATATACATACACCTGCACGACGGCTGCGGTAATCGTTTGTATCTGGCAAGCAATGTTACGGCCTATATGCGTCCCCTTTCTTATTATTGTCGACTAAAACAGCAATTATATTGTAACTTATGCCGTACATGTATATAATAATAATAATAATCGTGATGGGCTTAATGACGATATATATACGCGATGATGCCGGTCAACATTATCCACAGTAAGCTACATTGCAGACCTCCAGCTACCTGTATAAGCGTATATTATATAGTATAATTATATGTATACATGAGTTCGCGCTTAATTAGTTTGCAAAGTGTACAGAATATAATATGGCGTATAGCAGATCGGGTGTAAGAGGGGGAGACCGCGCATATGCGATCGGCAAGGACGGCCGGACGTATATATATATATGGGGGGAGGAGGCCATGCAACAGTGTCGCGTCACGACATTGAGGAGAGATTAACGCGCCCGTAGGTGTACATATACATATATATATATATATACATGGTGGATTACCGATGCTACGATCGGCCGTCGGGCAATCGCTATCATCGCTGGTTATGTATATGCACACGTAGGTGCAGCAACAGATTGCAGGGCCGTACATATTATAACGTATATGCTCGCTTTCGTCTATCATGTATTAGTTACACATACATATAATATCTACTCACACATAATATTATATTGTTAGTATCGATGTTATAATATGTACACGTGCTGCTTGGTGCATATGCATGAATGATCCCGTCGCGGGTGGTCTATATACGCAACACATTTAGCTCAAGTATATATTCGTAGAGCCCTGTGTACCCGTGGTGTACACCAGAGAGACGATCGATTAATTAGCCCAATCTCGTTAGGTCGCAGTCAATCACCCATACATCATCATACATGGGTATATAGAGTTATGATCATGTCCTTGCGCTACGCGCTACCGATCTCTTTTCAAATTACACGATACAGTGAAATTTCGCGATTCCGATTTTCGGCGGAGAGCTCTTTATTGGTCGTAAATGCGAATTAAAGAGCACCCACCTACACCCACACCCACACACACACACCCACACACAACCAACCTTATACGTAGGAAGGAGAGTACAGAGATAATGATGGGCTCGTTTCGCGGTGGAGGGCGCACGATGTATATATACACACAAGGGGGTATACGCGAGGCGCGTGCCGGTGGCACGTCGGTGGCGCGGTGATGTTAAGGCCCCGATCTCCGCGTGTATTAAGCATCAGGTACGGTATAGCATCTCGGGTGCATCGGGGCTGCACTTATATGCATTACGCCTGGCAAACGATCGGGAGCTAACGAGCTGGCTGATTAACGGAGTCGGGACCGCGTTGAGACCGCGCGCGTGCTGCCGCAACGCAAATGTATACATATATGTATATAGATGTATACCTATGTATACACATACATGCTCTCTCGGGGGAGCCTACTTAACCAGCCAGCCGATTTATATATACGTATATATACACGCACGCTCGCCAATAAGGAGTTCTTATAAGGAGGAGGAGGAGGAGGAGGATGTGTGTGCGCGCTCGCTCGGGTTCAACACGCGCCGGGCGCGCGAATCGGCTCTCGTGCTTACCTATGTATATATATATATGTGTACTTATATACACGTGCCCATCACCTACCGAGCGAGAGCAACCCCTCTCGCTTGTAAATTATTTACTCGTTTACGCCGCTGATGCTGCACATCGGCCAGCCTCGCTCTTTGGTTAAGCGTACGCGCGCTTATATACCTGCGTGTGTATATGTACCACGGGGGCCCACACTCTGATCGCCCCCCCCCCACACACCCTCATTTCTCTCGTTCGCCGACGCTTCGTCTTTATAAGTATAATATATACGCGTTTGATTTCATTACCGTATTGTCTATGATAAAAATGTACATGGTAAAGGAAAAAAAAAAAAAAAAACGTATACAACAAGATCATCGTTATATCAATTCACCCTCTGCACCTGAGTATAGGTACATGCGTAGGTACATTCGGTGGAGGTGAACGACGAGCATTTTTGGCACTTTCCTATATTGGGGGTTTCACTGCACATCACGATCTGTGCTCCTCGTCGTATATAACATTATGTCCTTTTATACTCTTGTTGAACATAATATGTTGTGCTCTATGGGTATACAATATACTACTGTGCACGTGATTTATGCGCTTAGTCTGACGACAAATTAGGGGGGAAGGAGGGTGAGAGATGAACAAAATACATACATGGTATGTAACATTGGTACACGAAGTGCACGGAATCGCTGATCGCGTAATCTTACGAAACTACTCATTTAGCTTTTTTATTTTTTCTCTCGCTCGTTAATCCAATGTTATTAATTTTTTTACACTCGATTCGATGTAATTGCAGAGCTGTACGATTACGTTGCAAACGTCAATGATACCCCGGATGTATACTTTGTTTGTTTGTCACGAAGGTGGAAACATTAGCTCGATCGATCGTATCATCGGTATCACAATTATAATTTCACCACACGAGTTGTCCAATATAATAAATGCACAACGATAACTCAATATTTTTACCGTAGAGCAATAAGTAATCTTTTAGCCGTGGCATGAGTATATAATAATATAGTAATGAGTAAAAGCATAGACGTGACGTCTTGGGTGTACCTACTTGTATAGGCGAAGTGCCCAGCGAGAATAAGACGACGAGCGGGAGGGCGAGCCGCGGCGAGGCGGCCGATCTAGCGACGACAGGGGCCGCGCGCTCGGAGCGCAACAGCGCAAGCAGCGCCACACCGGCCGGCAACACGGCGACGGCAACGCCAGCGGCCCCGGCCCTCGAGAGCCCCCAGGGGGCCAGCCAGACCACGACGACAGCCACAACGGCCCTCGTAGCTGCCACCGCGGCCACGACCCCGAGTACCAGGCAGCCCCGGGGCCGCGGTAGGCGTCCACCCAACAACCAAAACGGCCTCGACGGACCCACCGCCCTACAGGTATTGACCTCTCTCTATATGTTACACGCACACTATAGTGTATATTATACGTCCCTCTCTCTCTCTCTCTCTCTCTCCACCGCAGGTGAAAACGGAGAGGCTCACCCCCGACAACAACTCGACCTCCTCGAGGAGCGTGACGCCCTCGTCCTCGGGCCACCCGGCCACGCCGCCCAACGACCATCACCACCACCACCACCAGCAACAACAACAACACCTCAAGCACATGGAGCTGATGATGGGTCGCAACTACAGCGACTTTATGCGCAGCCTCGCCGCCAAGTACAACAACGCCAATCCCCCCACAGAGTACGTATATGATAATCTATATATACCATTCCAGCCATATATATGTATATATATATTAGGTATATATTCTATTTGTGCGTTTGATCTTAGGTTCCAGCTGGGCTGTGGCTCTCGAAACGGGTATCCGGGGGGAGGTGCCGCGGCGTTGGAGACCCCGGTGGCCGGGCGCTTCGCCTCGGGCTTGAAGACAGTGGCGGCCCAGTCGCAGCCGGGCAAGGAGCCGCGCGAGCCCAGAGAGCCGGCCGGTGGTGTGTTCGCCTGCGGCCCGGGTGGCTTGTTCCCACCGATGCTCGACATGTCCTCGACCCAGACGCTACTCTACATGGTCCGCACGGCCAACGCCGCCCAGAGCGCAGCCGAGCTCGAGAGCTACCTTAAGGGCGCGAGCAAACGCGAGCCCGGCCTCACCACTCCCCTCGATCTATCCAGTCCGAGGTGCAAACACAAACTATACCCTCCGAATTTCCAGTTTTTCCATTGCTTGTGGCTGTATATTATATTATGCAATTCGTTGTGTTGGCAGCCTCGTGCCTCGGAAGCGCGCGAGAGGTCAGGAGCCGCGTAGGCCAGGCAGCGTCTCCCCGAAGCCGAGCAAGTTGGCCCATCTGTCGGTGACGGCGCTCGTCGCGGCTGGGACTGTCACGACGACGAGCCAGGGGACCTCGACCACCACCACCACCACCACCACGACGACGATGCCGACGACAGCCCCAACGATACCAACCACGACGACTACGAGTACGTTGGCTACGTCGGCAGTTTGCGGGACGCCTACGCCCGTGCGCTGTCCGTCGCTTTGCGGGCACGCGCCCTGTGGTGACGGCCAAGCCGTGGGCCGTTGGAGCGTCGAGGAAGTCGCCGCTTTCGTCTCCTCCATCGACATCTGCTCCGAGTACGCGCAGGTACTTGTTGAGCCCCCTTTCTTAACCTACCGGCGATCCTTTGAACCGTTGTACACGAAATCGGCTGGCAAAACTTGAAATCTCGACTAAATAGAGCATAATGTATATACCGCATCAGCAAAAGTGTATATATACAGTTGTCGGCGACGACGCAACCGATCGCGAGAATCGGCAGTGCATACAGATTTATTGCCAAAGCAGCGTGTGTACACGGAGGCGCGTGCACGATGTGCAGATCACCGCTTGAGATATTTGCTCTCGGTTAACGCAAAACCCCATACGCGAGCGACTTTTGGCTTTTCTCGATCGGTATACATAATATATATGTATACCCCCACATCCTTCGATCACGACCTCGTGCAAATCCATCGTATACCCGCGACTCCGTTGTACATTATACATACCGATGTAAAAGGCATCGCGAGGCTCGCTTCGGAGCGTCGACACGCGCGCTCCACTTATTATCCTGCGCCTACGCGTTTGCATCTCTGCATAATGTATTACATATAGTGGAGAAATTAACATTTTTTGCGAAATAACATCGGCAAACGGTCGATGCTTTGCATTTTCGACTATTTCGTTCAAAAGTGTAGATTATATATACGCCGGTTAGAGGGGGGTGGAATCAACAGCCAAAGAGAACAAAGGCCCCCGGGGCAGGGGGGGAGGCACTCAAAATGCGGCTACGGAAGAGAGAGAGAGAGAGGCGCGCGACTAAGCATTTAAAAAGGCGAAGGTTAAAATTACGGGTCGGGGGGGTGGGTGGAGATATGTCCAAAGGCGTGTGTATATATATACATATATATGGACGTGGGTATACTTACGGGCACACACGAAGCTAGGAATTTGGTCTCCCCGTTTTTTTACCTCCGAGCGAATCTCGGACTCGTGTATGCGATCGGCATACACATATACACATGTACTAATAGCCTCGAGTGCGGCTTTTTTTTTTTTTTGTTTTTTTCTCGAGATAATGCAAAATATCCAAACACGGAGCTGGAACGCGAACAAATCATCTTTGGGTCCGATTATACAACTTGCAGGCGTTGTATGAATGAGTAATCGTCGCTTGTTACAGATGTACGATCGATTTTACGACGGGTGCTCTCGTAAAATCAGAAAATACCCCTTGAAAGGGGAAAAAATAGAATATCGTGGGAAAGCGCAAACGAACAACCAAAGTAACAATGATGATAAAAAACAAGATGCCAATAACTTTTGTCGAAAGGCCGTTGTATAATATACATGCGTATTATAATATATACGAGAAGAGGGACGAAAGAGGGAGGCAGTAAAAGAAAAGAAAAAAAAAGAAAAAATATGCAAGGAAATAATAAAAAGAGAGCGCGCGTCGGGTACCTGTAAGAGGTCTCGTGTGCATGCTCGGGTTGGTTATTGGGTTCAGCGGGGGGGGGGGGAGGGATGCTGCTGCCGGCGGGGACAATTACGCAGATGGCAGGCAGAGCCGAGAGGGAAGGTCCCGATCGCCGCTTGGCTGCATTTTCTGCGCGGCGCGTGCGTGTTTGCTATGCGGTTGTTGTTGCGGCCGAAGGCTCTATACGCTCCCTAACGCCCGTTCGTCTGCGCACACCGTATACACTGCACACTGATTATAGAGAACCAAGTCCCCCGATGCTCTCTCGGCTCGCACGCATACGCCTTCAAATTTCCGACTCTCCTTTTTTTTTTTTTTTTTTTTTTTTCCTCTTTTTCTTCCATCTCTCGACGACTTTAATAAAACATTCGGAGCAACAGGGCATTCTTCTTTTCCCTCCTATCGATCAAGAAAATCGGTTAACTAGCACCACTAGGGGGGCATTATATACATATACCATCACTGTACGCGGTATACGCTACATGGAATGCAGCAGCCAAATTCTCGATCCGATCTCGCGATGACCGGTACATATCGCATGTGTGGTACAGCGCGTCACGTCGACATTTCGCGTCGCAGGAAAATAAAAACAAAAAACCAACTGGTACTTGTATAGAGATGCATCATACCCATATCAAGGATATATATATATATACATGTTATCGGGGAAAGCTTATACAGCCGCGCGCACGATTCGCTCTTATTTCGCTCGGTGGAGCGGAAAAAGATCTGTTACGACGTTACAGGTATACATACAAGTATATAATAAAAAAAAAAATAAAAATAAGGCGTAGGTATACATGTATATATGTAGAGGCAGAGCGGGATTTGCCTTCGGTTGATGCGTATCGAGGACGGGTTGTTCTGCATGGGATCGTCGCTCACCGCCTCCCGGAATGCGACTCTATAATATATATGCATGTGTATATATTATACCTACACCTACAAACAGCAATAAGCCCACGCGTATATATAATTTGCACGACAAATCTCGTATGTATATGTATATACATGTACCAATGTTGTATATTGGTGCACGTATGAAATATACATCAGAGGCGGCTTAATCCTGCAGATCGGTATTAAGTGTGGCGCACCGCAACATTAGCCGGTCTAATGGTCTAATGGTCTACGCGTGTTTCCGTCCAACGGCGGCTTATCTCGCGACCGAGCGTCACCGTATATGCGCGCTCCTCTATTTCGAGAGCATCTCGTACGTAATATATATATATGGGTGTGTGTGTGTGTGTGTGTGTGTGTGTATGTACAAGTAACGGCGATTGCACCGCGTGTATGTATAATTATAAGGTACGCGCGGTCGTGCCCACATTATTATTTGTTTATCCGAGTTTCGGAAGGTCACCCAAGACGATTAAAATGGATTTATGTAGAAAAGGGGAATAAATTATTGTTCGCGTTCGTTGTAACGTTGCGTCGCGCCTGGGGTGTGAATCGGGAGTGCGCGATCGGTCGAGCATAACCGAGGAAAGGTCGATATATATACGTATGGTAATATGCTACGTCTCGTGCGCCGCGTGCCCGGTACATGCTCGGTATGACGTATATATATATATAAGTACAAGGATATGCCTCGTGCACTTACATTAATTGGCAGATGTTGAGGCCTTACGGGAGTTGGCGCGCATCACCGCGATATACATATACATACCGCGATATATATATAAGCCCGCGCGCACGCGTTCGCTGTTAATGCGCGCTTGCTGTGTTGTTATCATATACACATTCCTTGTGCCCTTGGGTTTCGTGTGAAGCAGGTATATGATATGGTATATACATATAAGCGCTCGGGGGCACGCGTGCGTTTTCGTTTATACGTGTTTACGCTCGGGTGGTGCTCGAGGGTAAAAGGTAGTTTCGCCCTGCCGATCTGCCCGCTGGAGGATGCTAATCACTGCACGGCCTCGCTATACTTATATGTATAATATACATATGCACGAGTGTATACATAATTCCTGTAGGGCACGCAACAGCCGCGTGCCTTACGTCTTGTACACTTATACACCCGGGTACATTGGGTATACTTTCCTCTCCTCCCCCCCCCCAACCCTGCAGTGGGCCGGCATTCTACACAATACTCTACGATTCTTGGGGTTGCTCCCAATATTAATATATTACCGATTTTTTGTACATCGTAATATTATAATCATACCTATGTACATACTGTTTGGTCGTTTATCGTATGCGTCTTTCTTCAAAGATCGTGCTCTGTTTGTTTCTTCCTACAAGTATCGTGCACATAATTATATATCTATAATGAATCAATTGATAATTTTGTATATGCATATACGTAATGATATATAACATCGGAATAACATCAGGGATGAACAACGGTAGCGTCAACCAATAACGGATGATCCAACGAAATCGCGAACTACCGATCTCTTCTTTCGTATATATGCGTTGCCATCGACACAGACCGGTAATTACATATTTATACTGCTCGCGCGCACACACACACACCCAATCTATATTATCACGTACGGGGACGGTATATTATGTACCTGTAACGTGTAATACAATAATCCGAAATAACAATCACAATGATGATGACGAAGGTGAGCTTGAGAGCGGGTATATATAGCTTATAAACGTGCGACGGCAGCGAGATGAGCAGGAGCAGTCGCCTCGATGGCCGCAAACTAGTAATTTACTGCTTAATTATATATACGACGCGATACTGGCTTGGATGGATATATGTATATATACACGTGTGCTGATGAATTGTACACAATATAAGGGTACTCGGCGTATACGTATACCTGTATGTACATATACGCAGGTACGTAGCTATATTAAAAGGTAGTGCGTGCAGGGGGGAGGGCCGCGTGTGTGCTGACGCGTGCGCGATTCGGGAAGCCGCTCTTGTGGGCGGACACTCCGGGGGCGAACGTGCAGGTATGCGCGCCCTTTATTTTATCTCTCTCTCTTTCTCTCTCGTGTACTTAAGGCGCGAGGGCTCTCCTTCCTTATATACATATATATTACTTTCTTGCTGATGGTTATGCGATATGATACCGCTACCGCACGCGTATATGCCTGTACACCTGTACTCAAGCGACTTTCAACCAATTTTGCAGATCTCGCGTTGCAAGCTCCGTGGGGCAAAATAAATCGGTTGGCGGTATAGGAAAATCGGTATGATGGACTCGACCGTTTGGACGTTCCTTTGTACTCGTTATTACTTATGCCAACTCTGGACGATGAAATCGAGAAAACCAAAATTGAGGTAATCAAATAAATTGAGAACGAAGGGGGGGGGGGAAATTGGGAATAATCGTGCCGAGGGGGCGTCTTGTCGAGAGAAATGTAAAGGGAAAGGGCCGTGTTGCTTTCGTATTACACGTTACCCGCGGTGGACAAGAGCCATGTCGTACAACTAACGTGCATATATACATATATACGTGTAGACATTCAGTTACACGCGAATACGGGCGCGCTTCGTACGTATACGTATATATATACTCAATGCACGAAAAGTGCATGAATTAACGAGGTTGCAACAATTTATACACCCCGAAGCTGGTACGGCCGGTCCTTCGAAAGGACTGGGCGGCGCAAGAGCTTATACCTACTTACACGCTTGCTCCTCTCGTTCGAAATGACGTTAGGGACTCGATGCGTGCATGGGGGATATTTTACACGTGTAACGTGGCCGATGTATCAGTGCGCTCGTGCTTCTTGTCCTGATAATAAATATCGACGTGGGTACTTGTCGAGAGCGCAAATTTTTTTTTTTTTTTTCCTTTACTTTGCTTTCTTGCGTAAAATTTTCAGACTACCCCGGGGTCGAGCACACTTTGACTGTTTCTTAATGGTTTAGTTTTCTTTGGTAATTTAACGTAATTTACGTGCGTCAGATCAACCGAAACACATATCCGTGCATCCGATTTTTACGTGAAGTCACGTGTTTTAGAAAAAAAAAAAAAGTCTATCAAACTTTTCCAAACTTGCAAGTGTTTATACTCGATACAATAATTTTTTTTTTTTTTTTTCCATAAAACTCGAAAATCCTTTAAAATCACTAAAATTGCCTCTATATTCGACTTCCCTTGGAAGGGCAAACTCATAGAGGATCGCGGTCGAAATGTGCCCAGCTGCCGGGTGAACATAGGCGCAAAGCAACAAAGGGTCCACTTTATAATATATATATATATGTGGGTGTGTGTGTGTATAATAAATAATACAATGCAAGCCGGTATATAAATATATGTGTGTACGTATGTATATACACACACATATATATATATGTATAGAGGAATGTCGGCTTGAGTTTTCTTCTGGTGGCGAACAGCGTGTAACAAGTGGCAGTATCTTGTATCTCCCTTATACACCACCGTATACATACAACGTGTATATACGCGTATATATAGGTATGTAGGCCTGCCTCTGTGTTGTTGTTGCAAAACATACGGTAGGAACGAGGGGGCGAACTCTCCCGGCCGCGCGCAGATGTAAGCGCGAGATGTAGATATGCCGTGTATGTATACCTTTTGCAAACTCCCTTCCTCCCCCACCCCCCACCCCCCTCTCTCCTGCACCTACCTACTACTTCTCTTAAGTATATACACATCTCTTTCTTTCGAGCGACGCAGATTTTTACTCTGATAAAACGACGACATCGCGGAGGTCTTGCTGCTCCTCTCTCGTGCTGCAGGACGCCTCTCGCCTCTGCTTCATTTTTACGTGTGTATGTGTATGTATACATGTATACGCGTCGATTAATTTGATTGAGTCGAGCAAGTCTGCATACTTACACGACACGCTCTCGGATGACGACGCCTACGCCTTCAGTATACATATATATATATATATATATACACATTGTGTAAATCTCTGCTAAACTCATTTGCGTGAGGATTACATGGGTGAAAAATTTTTTTTTTTTTTTTCTTTCCTTTTTTTCAACTCGATCCAAATATTAATGGCAATCAAACGAATAATACAAGTACTCGTATATACTTACCCAATGCAGTACAATTATTGTTATCATTACGGGGTACATATAATATACGATAAATCGTCGTAGCTTTTGTCGATACACCGATACACCCTGTACATATGAAACATCATATATGTATATTTATACCGCTTGTCGCTGGATCACCTGAAAAAGTATGTATAGGTATACATATAAAACTGCAACAATAACTTGTCATTAGGCCATAAGTGGGGGGAGGGGGGGGGTATGTAGCGCGGCCCCATAAATTATCCCCTGCAATTCGACACGTGTGCGCCGCCACCGCTGATGCCGCTGCTGCCGTTGTTGCCGCCTTCTCTCCTCTTGTATACGCTCGTCTTCTTGTTTTATCTTTCTCCCGTTCTGCTTTTATATACACGCCGTACATCATAAATACATATATATATATATTATACCCACTGCTTCCTTCCCTCTCTCCTGCTTCCCTTTATCCTCGCGATGGCTTCGATCTTATTTATTTTCTTTAAAATTTCATCTCGCCTCCCAAGAGAAGGGCTCACTGTATGCGCATGCATACAGCATTATAATACAGCACCCCAGTATAAAAAAAGAGAAAAGAAAAAAAGTGCGGTACATTATAATAGTTGCATATATAGAAGAAAGGGTATATACGAGTATATAAATGGTAGAACCAGTGCAGTATATATATAAAATACGTAACGCGGCAGGGCGTGGCTGCAGCGCAGGAGAGAGAAGACGCGTGCGAGAACGGCCTGCAAGCCCGAGCTATAAGGTCATCGGACAGTCTCAGCCTGCGGTTGCTCTTCCTCTCTTTGCTTCGTTCCCTCCCCATACGTATATACTTACGTGTATATATATATATATACCTTCGGGTTATTCAATGCTCATTTCCAACACTTCCTACCGTGATTTTTATGCCCTCCCATGTTACACTGTGTTATATTCCACCGACGCTCGATCCACCGGCAACTTTGGCCAAACTGATAAATGTATGCGGCGAAAGAGCCGTTTTTCATCATGTAGCTCGAATTTATTTTACAACGGGAATCATTGCACATCTTCCATTTATCCTAAAGATCGGCAAGAAAATCGGTAAACTTGTAGGGGGGGAAAAAAAAAAAAAATCTAGTCAACGACACAAAAACTGCCCGTTGTACCAATTGTAAGGAACATTGCAACGTGAAAATATTGATGAGTAAAATTATTTGTCGAAGATTCTTTTTTTCTCTTTCCCACGTCGCTGCATCGGCGACAGGTGCTGACGTGGCTATACGTGTATATACTTATAGCTGTCAGCGCTCCGAGCGAAAGTGGAGGACAGGAATTCGCGGTCGGTCGATCGAGGCTGTTGCGATCCGCTCGAGTTGGCTTCTGCCTCCCCTGGCTGATGCGTATATATACATACACACACATTATATAGTATATAAAATGCTTGCTGATCTGGCTTCGATTGCCATGATGCGTATGATGCATTATTTCTCAGGACCCATGGGAAAGGGTTATTATGGGGAGGTCAGCGACTACGATGATGTATTTTAGCGCTGCTGATGTGCGACATGTTTAAAAAGAGACTTTGTGTATATTGTACGGTATGTCGTAAGATCATTGAAACGACAAAATATGCATATGTTGTATAACAGCCGATTTTTAGCAAGTAGGTATACCTACGAGTGAGCTAAATGCTTTGTACACTACAAAATCCGGTGCTCCGCTCTCGAATGACAAATCATCTGTAGTTTTGTTGAAAAAAAAAAAAAAAAAAAAAAAAAAAAAAACTATTATCCTATTAATTTTCATTTTTTGATTGAATTGAACTTCTCCTTCGATAAGAAGTAGAGCATTGTACCCCTTTCATACACGCGCACGTGCTATACAATACCATATAAAAGGGCTCTCGTCTGATTTCAGAGTTTCCGCGAGCACAGGATCGACGGATCGGCTCTACCCTTGCTCTCGGAGGAGCACCTCACCGGCCCGATGGCCATGAAACTGGGACCGGCCCTCAAGCTGCGAGCCATCCTCGCCCGCAAACTCGGGGCCTGCACGGTCTGCTTGCACTGCGTCCACTGCCACCAGACGCCCCTGTCCCCGGCTCTGAGCGCCGCCGCTGCCGTGGCCGCAGCTGCCGCGGCAGCCGCCCACGCCCAACAGCACCAGCCCCCCGTCAACAAATAACGAACAATCGCTCGTATATGAAAATTACGAGTACGCCCGTGTGCATTTAACTTGTTGTCAAACCTGCACTCGCTATACTGTACTTACGATTGTGTACAAATGACTCGTATGGATAACTTGCAGCCCGCGTGTGCTTATGTTTTTGCATACGGGTGCTATATGATAAGTCGCGCGCTCTTGAAGCCGTTAAAAAGGACTTGACGAGTCATGCCGAGTTTTTCGGACTTTTTACCGGGACTACAAGAGTGCATGTAGCTTAAAGTCATTAAAAAAGACTTTATAAGTCTTGCGAAGATTTCAGAAGTCTCCAAAAGACTTTGAAGCGCGCAACTCCTCGTGATGAGGAGAGAGAAGAGGACCGAACGACTGCTTTGTATTTACATTTGCAGCGTGTTTGAGCGCGTGTAGCGACCGAATGATTGTATCAATGTGCAATAAAACAGAACAAAACAAAAAACTGCCATCGCGCGTTATTTGCGGTGGTGACGAGGATTTTGCCGTCGTCTCGTTTGAACGAGATTCGGTGAGGAGCGAAAGTTGACTTGTTGGCCATCCAACGCTGGTTTACCTATACTTATATCACAATGACACTGTGACGTACAAGTGTAGGACTTTTAACAACTACGTCCTCGTGAGCGGCGAAAAACGTTTGATCAGTATCATTTGGGCGATGTTTTTACTCGATGCTGATGTTTGTGCGTCGATTGCTATTGGTTTTTTTTACTTTCCATCTTTTTATCATTACTTACACGTTCGGATTGTACGATTTTTTAGTGTTAAGCTCGAGAGAGTGTTTTTGCGAGTTATGTTTTATGGATGTCGTTCATGTGATCAAACGAAATCGTAGTGTAGTCGTAATTACTTCATTTCACTGCTTGAATGAAATTTGTAGGTCAGGCGTGTATAAGATATGCACGTAGGAATTTTTGAAAAAAAGGGTCATTGTAGGGCGCCCTCATTGTTATCGAAACGAAGGAAATCTGTAAAAAGACTACTTAATAACGAACGAGCAGTATTTTTAGATGTACATAATTTTTTTAAAAATATTTTATTCGATACTTATGTGCCTGGGTTTACTATATATTGCATCAATTGTGCGTAAAAGTATATATATATTTATATTTATAGAATAGGTCAATATCTTGTAAATGAGCGAGTTATCGGGCGCGTGAGTGCAAAGACAATAATATTGGAGTAATTGCTTAAGCGTGGAATGTGTAAACGCATTTATTTATACAATGTTTTTGAAGAAGAGAGAAAACGGTTACTTTTTTTATTTTTACGACTTTTCAACTACCGACATCGAGTTAAATAGTAAAAAGAATTTTTTTTTAAAAACACTCACATGTATACATACTTAACACTATTGACAATCATTAAATGCGTAAATGGAAAAAATTTTAAAAAGCGATTTTTGTGATACTATTAAGCGCTCCTATCATAAGTTTTCGCTGTATGACTGCCGCGGTCTTTTACAATGTCTCAATCTGTCCAACTATGGTAACTATATACGCACATATAGTTGACTAATGGGTGTTCTCTTATTTTTGTTTCGTTTTTATTATTATTATTATTATTATTGGGCTCGTACAGTCTAATTTGTGAAATTTTATGAGGACACCTACATCTTACTGTGTATATTAGCGAATGAGAAAAAATGACAAACAGCTATATAGTGCATTGTTTCTGTTGAAATAAATTTGTTGAAAACTAGAAAAAGAATATTATATACCCTTTCGATTCCCTATTATGTTTACATTCACCTTTTCCTTCATTTTTGATTCTCGAATAGCTTATAATATAAATTGAAATTGAAAAACGGACAACAAAGAGGAATTCAAATTTCAATGTATTGTTTATTTGGTTGTTCAATCGTTACAAAGTTGTTTTACAATAATTTTTAAAAAGGCACGCTATCAAGTTTGGCCAGATCCTATGACTTGCAATCGCAAATGGGCACGCGACCTCTCTTGTTGCCATTTAAATCACGATAAAACAAATCTGATGTGTAACATTCGCCTATTTCCCCTTTTATTGAACACTTTTTTGTACAGTCCTTCCGATCTTTGTCGAGACACGGCAAACGCAGAGACATTGCTGTAATCAAAGATAAAAGTCATCGGAGAAATTAAAAATAACAAACTCTATGACTCAATTTTAATACACTTTTTTTCATTCAACCGAATTTTTTTACGAATTCAACCCACTTATTGTAAAAATTAAAGTTGAACTGTACGCACTTGTTGCAAAAATTACTCTACTCATGTATAATTGAAATACAACTTGTATTTAAAAAAAAAAAAAAAAACTCCGTATTTAAAGAAAATTATGTTGAAACAATTAATTACACTCGTTATTCAGAAAAAATTTTATGCAAAATAAAAATTACTTACAGCTTGATATCAGAACACTCAGTATTACAATGAATACCAAGAAGGTATTAATTTTTCTTGTTGCACCCATTTTAGGCTACTGTTGAAGTCTTTCTCCAGTACTGTTCTCTGTCGAGTACAGCAATAACTGACTAGACGTGTTTTTTAACCCAATATATATATTGCCGTGCGAGTCGGCAGTACCTGGTACTACGAGTGTAACAAGTTCCCACTTCTATACGGATTCAAACGAGGATGATAATAAAAATAACCAGCCGTACGCGCAGGCTATTTCATTAAACTCTAATTAACTGATTAACATTCAGCAATTTGTTTGCAAGCTTGGGCTAAACTTACATTCTATCATTTCTCTTAGTGTCACTATTCTATTTTCTCCCGTTACTATTTACACGGCATCGGAATGAGCTCATCCGATTGCTTTTTAGTGCTCAATTGCTTCGTTGACATCATGCTAGGAAAGTAAAATATTCAAATGGTGACGCAAGTGTTTATTTGAACAAGCAAATAAAAACAAATTTGAACTCTTTCAAAGGTGGCTTAAAACCTTTGCATTTTCCGTAATTAGATAGCTTCGTGAAATCATTAAAAATTTTTGAATAAAGAAAATGCAATAATCGCACATAGTGTGTATTTAAACGCACCCACAGTTTCCGTAATTTTACTAACAATAACTTACCTTTGGAAAACGTTTATTCAACAATTTGCGATTCAAGTCCGCCTTTGGAAAACGTTTATTCAACAATAGCGATTCTAAGGGTTCGGAAAGCACGGGGAGAAGTGAACTTTGCTTATTCTCAGACGGAAGCCGCGATTTATTTGTTAATAGTTGTTCATTCCATTTTTTTTTTTTTTTTTTTTTTTTTTTTGTTAACTTGGGTGCTATGACAATTTTGAATATTCAAATAGATCCTCAAACGATTCCCAGGGATTATTTCCGTGAAAGTCTTGCGAGTAACTCTGTTATATGTAATAAAAGAGACTCAACCTTATTCGGAGTATTTAAAATAAAAAAAACCTCACTCTCAGTTGTTCGATTCATTTAATTTGTAACAAAGGTATACTCTCAATTGAAATATCGCGTTATGTCTGCCTCGGAGGACGCGCATTCTTATCCCCGTCGGGCAAATACCTACACGTAAGCTTGAATTTTTTCTTAGATTTCATAGCGTCTGTAAGTTGTTCTCAAGCTTTACGTGTTCCGTCTGAATTTGGGACCAGTTGGGGAAGGAGATCAATAACTAAAATGAAGGGAGTCTCTGAATGGAATTTTCATCCTTACCGTGTAAATTGTACAGTAATTTTTTTTACTCGGTTAATAAACAGAAAACTGGCTGGTTTTTGACTGGTTTTATATAAATTTTTCATACAAGAAGTTGTTAGCGCAGGTTTTTCTTTTTTTTTTTTTTTTTTTAATCATACGACGTGCATCACATTTTTAAATACGTCTACCAGATAACAACGTTATTTAAATATATATTCGATATCAAAGTACTACAAAAGCATGAATTAAATTGTTCGATACTACATCATCATTCTCCTATTTTGAAATGAAATAAGTTCATTAACAAAAATTGGTCAAAAAAAGATTAAATATTCGTTTGGTGTAAATATTAACGTTGTTGATAATGCGTTGAATTTAAAAAGCCCTAATCTTGGACAAAGTGAACAATGTTGCTGCTGACTCAAGTGGAGATGACATCACCAGTCGGGTCGTGTCACGATGCTTTGGCCTGGAAAAAAAAAATATATATATACATAATAATTTACTTTGGTAACAGAGTACTATTACGAGGTCCTAAATGTCATGATTTTTCAACCATTGAAATTAAATAAGATCAGCAATGGTAATTAAACCACACGGAATATTATGGAACAATATTTGTGTTGATGTATTACCCCAACGTGGATGGCAACGACACCGTCCTCGTCCCTTGGTCGGATCTGTATGTGGGCTGTGCCATTTTCATCGACTTTGATGGACTTTCCGGTACAACGGCCATCACGCAGCTCACCCGAGATAACGTCGCAGTACGTACCCTTAGCCACACACACCTTCAACCTCTGGCTCAGCACGGCGTCCTTCTCACCGTTTATCTGGCAAATTCATACACCCCCATGAAAACTTATGTAAAAATGACTAGGGATTCATAACATAGAATGGTAATATTCGCACGATTCCATTGTAGGATTAAAACTGAAAGTAACGATTGCACGAAATATCCCGTGAGGTTGAGTATCGGGGTGAGCATGTGGAGAGGAGCTTACAGCCAAGAAGCCCCGGTCGCCCCTGCAGAAGCTGATCTGGTTGGAGCCGTTGTCCCACCAGGAGTTCAAGTCCGCGTTGGCCACGCGATTGCGAAACCCGACCATGTTGTAGATCTGCCGCCAGCGGTGCTCGCAGATCCAGGGCCCGGAGCAGCTGCCGTCGGGGCGTATGTTGGGTGAGGTGGTAGGTGGGCTGAGGGGGCCGGATAGGTCGAACGAGCTCATGATCCGCGGCCAGCCGTACGGGTGGGCCAGCATGAAGGCCACGGACATCTTGTAGAGCCGGGAGCGTTGGTAGGTCAGGGGTATCTCGTTGCCGGAACGCTGCGTGTCGTGGTTGTCGATGAAGACGAGCGCGTCGCCCGGGGGCATGAACCCCCAGTCCTGGCCCCAACTCACCAGCCACTGTCGACAGACACCGACCACTTTACCACTTTCAATCTCTCGTCCCGTTGATTTTCGTACATTCATGTGTATATAATATATTATGTGATCGACGCGAGTTGTTTTATCATTTATTCACGACCCAATTTTTTGTATCTTCAATTACGATGTTGCACCGCCAACTGAGAGAAAAAAATTAAATAAAATCAATTAAAATTATCGAGAAATTACCATTCCGCACAGGTAATCGGATGCAAGTTGGCAAAAAAATAGAAAAAAATATAGAAAAAAATATTATTTTTAATGCGGCAAAGGAAAATTGTATCAACCGATCCTTTTAAGGTTTACCGTTGCAGCGTGGTCATTTTTACTGTTTAAAATAACAACTTTTCCCGTTTTCACCAGCATTCATTCGATTTACTGTGCACAATAGTTATTTCTCTATAATATTTGTTATTGTTGTTTTTTTTTTTATCTCAGAGTATACGATTGCCCAGAATCGAGTGCCGATTGTCGTATGTATCATTAAAAAATTCATCATCATCAATAATCATTCATGCAAGTCGATAATGATCGAGGTGTAAGTATATATATATGTATATAATGTACTTTGAGCTGGTTGTTGCCGATCATGGCGTTGCTCAGCTCGTGACCGTAACGGAACTCGGTAACCACCCCGAGGTCGCTGTACTCGTGGTTCTTGATCCCCTCGCCGCCGTAATCTATCACCTCTTGGAAGAAAAACGCACGGCCGTTCTCCGGGAAGCTGTGACTCGTGTTGAGCTCGCGCGTGCTCGAGTAAATGTACTTCAAGTCGTTCGGCCACATGTGCTTGGCTGCGTCGACCCTAAACAATCGACAATTGTGTTACTAGTCCATATACATATGTATATGATTTATGTATTTGTATGTTGCAATGATTTACCGGAAACCGGCGACCCCGGCGCCGATGACTCGGTTGAGGAACTCGAGCTGTTTGGCGCGCACGTGGGGGTGCCTCTGGTCGAGGTCGTGTAGCCCGACGAGCTCGCAGTTGCGCACCTCGTGGACGTTCCCGTAATCGTTGATGGAACAAGTGTCGTGAAAGTGCTCGCGGGAGTAGGGCACGGCGGGGTAGTGGCGCTCGTGCGGCCGGGCCGGGGAGCCGGCTGTGCCGGTCGCGTCCTCGTGATCGGCGCTCATGTGGTTCAGGAGCACGTCCACGTAGATGCGGACGCCCACGCGGTTGCACCGCTCGACCATACCCCGGAACTCGGCTTCCGTGCCCGAGCGCGTCTCCATCAAGTAACTGATGGGCTGGTAGCGCTCGTACCACGGGCGGCCCTTTATTATCACGTTTTCCTGGACCGGTGAGACCTGGGGCGTAAGAGAACAATGACAAACTATCGCCACTTGCCGATTCATCGTTTTTACGCGCAAATATTTTGTTGGGTCATTTCGGCGATCGTTTGAAAAAACCTCCGAATGCGCGGGTGTTTTCCGAAAGCGTCACGATTTTTTACATTTACATTCAACGTTAAATATATAAAAACAAAGCAATCGTAACTAAAGAGTGAAAGCAACAACAAAAAAATCGATTATATCTCAATCGAAGAGTAATCCGATCGATGGTATCGCAATTTTCGTAGCTACGATGGATGCATTCTGGTATGAAAATAATAAGCCAAAAGGTTTATCGAAATCGATCAAGGAAACATTAAGATATATACAATCGCTTACGTACGTGTACACTCATGCGTCCACACACGCGGATTAATTCTTGTCTTAGTAATAATATTTTTGGAACATTCCGATAAAAATTTATTTCTCTAAATCGGTAAAATCGAAATTTAAAAACCGATAAAATAAAGTAGAAATTTTATTTTTCAGTGGTAATGAGTGTGCAAAAACAAAAAAAAATGAGCCAAGGTTGATTGCAATCGGTGTCTAGGGAATCCAGAAATATGACTGCATGATTACACACACACACACACACACACACACACACACACACACACACACACACACCTCAATAAGTGATGTTCCGTGCATTACAAGGCTTCTTCTACCCCATGAAAAAGCGAAAAATCTATTCTCGTTATTTCACTTCGAACCCACATTTAAAATCCTACTATACGATACCTCGGCGAAATTTTGAACGTCAAACAAACGTTGTTTGAATGTTAAAAAATACAACATTTATTTAACACTTCAAAAGTGCTAGACATTGAGGATAGTTTCTATTTTAATTTTGCAAATTTGAATCTGGATCAATACACCTAAATGTCAAGTCGATTATAATTATTTTATTTACTTGGCCAAAGTGGATTTATGTAACACTGATCTTGCACTTGATCTCTGCATTATGAGATATAACGTTAAAGTCCACGTAAACATAAAAGTTTTAAAAAAAAGTAATTGCGATCGCTAGTGTAAGTGTTTAAGCGAAATTATAACGATTGAAAAAATAAATTATCAATTGTAGTTTATCGATTAATAAACATTGTGAAATTAATTTATAAAAAAAAAAAAAAAAAGAATTGAAAATATTTCCTTACATAGACTTGGAAGTAAAAGATTGGAATTGCATGGTCATGGAGATAAGATCGAGGATAAGATAATTGACCTGCAAGTCGTTAATCCGGGTTCAAGGCCATGACATTGAATGGTATTTTTTTTTTTTATCGCATTATTTTTTTCTTGCGAACAATATGTTCACGTTGCGAAATAGTAGATTTGCGCCCATCAATTACTTTGTTTATATACGGAGGGACTCAATTTTCGGCCTAACTGGTATATCGAATGTAACAGTAACTGCTTTATTGTCATTGGCAAATACATCAAATTATCGTAAACAACCGCGCATTGTAAAAATGAAAATTTTAACAGGGTAAGAAAAGTTGAGAACAACCTTATCACCATGTTACATCGAAAACATGTAGAAAATTGTTCTGAAATTAGAATATATCTTTTAAACGGTATGGTATGTTTTAAAGTGTAGTGTAATGTACGATATATTCGTCTTTTGGAATAATCGTAAAAATGATGACAAATAACCGTATTAGTATAAAATATCAACTATTATACCGATTGAAATATCCGATCGGCATAGAGATTAGATGAAATTTTCAAGTCGAAACATTCTGTGAATTTTTTTGACAAAAAAAAATATTTACACCGTTTACATGTTTTTAACGCGTTTTTAGTTTAAACAAGTCTGTTTACGATTAAGAGAACATTGATACGAAGTTATGTGTTTCGTTACAAAATTTCGATTATCATAGCAATTCTGTTGTTTATCGGAGTCCAAGCATAATATGTTTTCTGTACGAAGCGTCGATACTACCGACGCACTTTTATGTCATAAAAATTGAATGAATGCATAAAACTATTTTTTTTTTTTTTTCACTTTTCCACTGAATTTTGAATGCTTGACCTAGCCAATTTCTTATTCGAAAAAATACATCTGCAAAGGCTCCATTCAGGGAACGAGATACCAGATATTACCATTCCGCAAAGTAAATCGGATGCTAGCTGTCAAAAAATGAAAAAATTATTATTTTAAATTGTAAAGATTATCGTTTTAATAGTTAAAATTACGGGTTTTAACAGTTGTATGGTTAGAACAGTGAACATTTCTGTGCGGGATGGTAAAATTTATCAACCGATCCTTATAAAATTTACTGTTCCAGCATGGTAATTTTTACTGTTTTCACCATAATTTCAACTGTTAAAACCCGTAATTAGAACTATCAAAACAATAATCTTTCAAATTATAATTTTTTTCCTTTTTTTGCCAATTTGTATCCGATTTAATGTGCGGAATGGTAATTTTTGCTGGTAATTTCTCTATGATTTTTATTATTTTTTTTCTCTCCAAACAAATGTTCATTTGCGAATAGGGCCAGAATGTATTATATATAAAAAAAAAAAAAAAAAAAAAAAAAATACTCTTGAGTACCGATCAGATGGAGTAGTAAGTGTATACCTGCACACCAGCAAAGCCCTTGGGCCCGAGAAAGTTCTCGCACTCGTTCGCTATATCGTTCCACTTCCACTCGAAGAGATGGACCATCGTTGTCCGATTGGCCGCGTAATTCGGCACTTTTTGGGCACCGCCGGCACTCACGAGAAGCACCAGCAGCGGTACAACCGCCATGGACGCCCGTCCGGACATGCCACCCACTTTGGATTAAGACCGTGTAATTTTTGCACTAAAAAATATATTTTTACGTTGCCGTCTGTTTACAGTGTACATGCGTACTTGCTCGGCCGCCGAGAAATTGACTGACTTTATAACGCGAGATAAAAATGACGAGCTGCGTCAGCCGCTTTTATCTCGGACACCATCGACCCGCTGGTCTTCCCCTCGACTTCTGTCAGGAAATGAGAAGAAGGTAAGTATATTTTTTTTTTTTTTTTTTTCATTTGTATATATGCGTTCTATTTGGTTATTCTCCTTTTTTAATTAATTGTTTTTACTGATTGCGGATTACGATATTGTACTTGAAGTGAGATTTATCACCGCAGTCATGATAATACGTGCGTCTGTTAATTCCGGGTGAAGTATACAAGCCAATGTTTATTATTTGCAGCCTCAATAATACGAATTATACATTTTTTTTTGTTTTTTTATTTATTTATTTATTTTTTTTTGATAAATTAACTCAAGTCATGTACGAATAATATTTACAATGTGTTGGATAAAACAGCGAGTATTTATTTATTTTTTTTTTTTTTTGTGAAATTGAAGAAAAACATCAAATAAACAATCGTTATTCTTTAGTATACAAAAAAATTAATTTTTTTATGTTTGAAATCAAATTGTGACTACAGCCCCATACCAAAAATATTGATGATTGGATCCTTCGTATACAGTTTTATTGTGTTGGATTCTAATTGAAAACTAATTTTATCAACAAATTTAAATTAATCTCATCATTGTGTGCCATTTTTCACTAAAAACAATTAATTTTTTGGAGCTTGAGTAAAAAATGGAACTCTTTTTTTGTAGAGTTACCTTATAAGCGTTAGGTGAGATAGTATCAAAAAATACCTTCAAAGCTCACATTGTTATCGGGTGATGACAATCGATTTAGTCATACATATGTGTGTGTGTATAAAGTCAGTCGTGTCTCAGAAATTCACTGACCGATTATAATCATCCAGAGTTTCAGATTTCTGTTTTTGTATCTTTACAGGGGTTTTCATGTCATTCGCTTCGAAAAAGTGCAGTTATACGTATGCACCGTATTTAACAAAGTTATCACAAATAATTATTCGATTATCGAAAACTAGTTTTTTTTTTACAATCAATGTGTCAGTGAACAAATTTTTAATAGGAGCATAAAATCAATGGCGTTTTATAGAACAGAAAAAAAAGCTCCTTTTTTTCATTTTGTTACATCAAATATTATTTTCAGTGTAAATTTCTGGTAATTCCATTTATCGATTATTAATAAAACTAGTTTTTTTTTACAACTTACAATAGATTATTTACAAAAGAGTTGAATGTATGTATATTACAATTTTTGTGTTTGTAGGTATCCCGCATAATCACGAAAGATTATACAATTTAATGTATCTGTTGATCAAATTAGAAAACTACAAGTGACAAGTACAATAATAAAAAATAAATAAATAAATAAAAGAAATACCAGAGCTTTCGGAAGGCTTATTTGTTGTGAATATACGAGTGAGGCGTGACCCGAGGTGTAGAATTTAATTAGTTGATAATTCAATTTTTTTACTAACAACAAAAGCGCTAGTTATTAAAAAAAAAAGGAAATAACTTGTAAACCATTAAAATGGTATTGGTATAGGATGAAAAAATAATGAATAATTGAAATAACTCTGTTAGCTTGTAAATAAAAATTATTAACAAGCATAAACTTTCATTCCAAATCTCCAGAGCTCCTTAAAGTACTTGGGGTAAAGGTTTAGAGGGCTTAAGAGCTTGAATTTAAGTTGATTGATTTTAGAACGTTTGAATTTTCCGCTAAGGCGTGGCCACGCTGACTTGGTTATCGACAACGGATGGACGCTGTAAATGCTGATATGATGGTATAACTGAATCTTCGGCCGCGTGGCGGCATACGGTTAACACTTTTCGACACTTTTCATGAATATCATCGTTTGTGAAATACCGAACGGTTTAAACGAAAAGAAAAGTTGAGAGGAAATTAGAAAAACGTGGTTTCTGCTAGATGCATCCACTTTAAACCCTCCCAACGAGTCCTTGATTCGATCGCTGTTTTTCGGGTTCGCTCCCGCATGTGGCGAAAAAAGTGTCTGGTTAGTATATATAGACCAAATTGAAAACAGTCGTTCAGAGATGTGTGCACACTGGCTCATGACGTAAGTCTACAGTCACCCACGCAAACGGAGTTGGTTTGAATAGTTTGCTACGTTGTAGTAGCTCACCAATCCGTACCTACAGGTAAGTAAGGTGGTAAGTAGGACGTGGTGAATGACTTGCTGGTGCGTACATATTTTTTTGTTTTTATTTTTACATTTCTATTAAAAAACCAATGTCCTGCTTTATTATTTACGTTTTCCCAAACCAAATTCCTCCCTTTTTTTCATTTTTTCTTACAAAGGGTGAAAATTCTGAGAAATCAAGAAAAACATACGTCCGCTGCTTTAACTTAATATAATTTTCCAACATTAATCAACTTATATATTATAATCCGCCCATTTAGTATAAAATTATTTTTTTCCAGTTACAATTCGTTTAAACAGCTTTTCATATATTTGCTCTTTTGTTTGTTTTCTCTCTTGAAAAATCCTTTTGTGTCCAACATATTCTTTTTTTGTATACGTACTAAAAAAACGGCTACTGAATATATTATCGTTATTATTTAATATGCCTTAAANAAAATGCTAGAACAATTTTATCAAAAAAAATTTTTTATCATTATGCAGCATAAAATTTTTAACTTCGATTATTTTTAATTAAACCACAACATTATAAAATATGAACACATGTCGTATACCGATATCAATTTATATGATGTTACCGTCACTTTTTTATTTTTTTATTCATTTTTTATTCTTTTTAAAACGTGTAAGTTATTTCTTTTTTTTTGTGACGAGTAGCTCTTTTATTGTTAATAAAAAAATGAAATTATTAACTAATTGAACTCTACACCTCAGGTCATTTGGTTTAAGGGCTTAAGCTGGCTTAAGAGTACAGGAATATGATGTTAAAGCACTCGGGGTAAAGGGTTTAAAAAGCTTGAATTTAAGTTGATTGGTTTTAGAACATTTGAATTTGCCGCTACTTAGGCGGATGTCCCGTTTGGGTATATAATATATTTGCACGCTGCTTTTGCCGTATATATATGTATTAAGTGTACGATACCAGTATATGTATAATTACATCGGGAATATAAATATCGACACTATTCAATAATAATTGTATCATTAGCCACATGATGGCTCTGTCGGTAGCGTGTCTGCCTACAGATCTTGATGGCCGGGGTTCAAATCCCACTCTGGACAAAAATTTCATCAATGAATGAGGTTTTTTTCTGGATGGGAGTTGTACTTCAATAAACCTACCGATCCATCTACCGTTTCCTCCTACTGTTATTAAACCCAACGTATGGCTAAATACACTTTATGGTGTCAAAATAGCCATGTCTGAGCCCTTAAGGGGCGATGATGAATATAAAAAAAAAAAAAAAATAATATATACCGGATGGACACGG